TCAGTTTCCACACGGCTTCCACAAAGACCAGAAATCTTTGAGTTCAACCAGAGCATGTTACAACCTGGGGTGTGAGGAGTCCCGGGTTCAATTCCCAGACTAGCCACCATATGTCATGACCTGGCTCGAGGGACCACAACATACGGAAGAGGTCTGGACGCAAGATATGGGTTTCAGAGAATATGTGACAGTGTGAGCGACCTGTCACTGTATCTCCATTGATGATAAAAAGCCTGTATTTGATATAGCACCTTCTAGAGTCCTGGAACCCCCCAAGGTGCTTTACAACACAATCAGTCATTCGCACATTCACACACACATTCACACACTGGTAGTGATGAACTACATAGCCACAGCTGCCCTGGGGCTGTCACGTGCGTGCCGGGCAGCGAGGAGGATCCAAGCGCAGGGAGGAAGAAGGCGAACAGGTGAGTCCGTTTAACACAGGTTTATTGAAGAGACACCCTAACCTTATCCTCTTATTTAACCTTCCCCTCACCCCTATCCTAACCTTAACCATCTTGCTCGCGAACACGTTAGTGATGTGTCAGTCGCTCTTAAAGCCGGCTCTATGAAGTGAACAGCGGGAGCCGCCTCGTCATTGGTCGGGTTTGGACCGAGCCAACGCGAGGGGGAGGCTTCAACTACCACAGTGGAGGTTAAAAGTAGAGGGTACTTGTAACCTCCCCCTCGCCAGATGGTACGTTCTAACGTTCCCCTTGGGCGGCAAATACGAAAATTCACAGTCAGAATGCGTGGGAAACAGACGCTTGATCACAGTGAGAGTAACGTTTTAGGTAGCAAGAGGGTTAAGGTTAGGATGACGGTGAGGGGAAGGTTATAAATAGTGAAACGTTAAGGTTTAGGTGCGGTTAAATGAGCTGGTTCGGTGCTGCATCAGCGGTGAGAATGTGTTGATTTCTCTTATGTAATAACTGAATATTTGCTGCAATAGCAGAACAAACTCATTTCACCAAAGTTAGTTTTTCACGAACACATGGGACCTGAGGGTTAGGGTCAGGGATCCGTGCTGTCTCCGTCTCTTTGTCTCCATCATCAGGGCAGAATTAGATCTAAAAGAAAAAAAGCCCCAGGAAATAATACATTTCTGCTTCGTTTCATGAATAAATGAAACTTGTTAACAGCAGGAGGTGCGTCAGGTAACCTGACTGGTTCCATTTGACTTCTGATTAAATTTCATCTGTTTGTTTGTTTGAAAGCTTTGATTGATTCCAGAACTTCCAGGGTTTTTTTGAACATTCTTTCTGTATCACAACCGCTCGTGAAACGGTTTGATCACACGGCTGCTGTTCCCGTTGGAACGCGTTAAAGGACTTCCCGTCCAGAAACAAACCGCACACAAACACACATCACATTTTTAAATGGAGGATTTCTTCCAGCTTTCACGTCTCACCTGCTCACGTCACGTGTTCCTCCCGTTAGCTTTGATTAAGTCCAGATTCAAACCAGCAGAGGTTTACTTTGAGCGTAGTTTTGAGGAAGAAGGAATAAGTGAGATATTTTGGGTTTGAAGTCATTCATGCTGCGTAAACAGCTGGTCTAAATATCTCTGTTAGTCGGGACCGACAGGGGCGTGTCCAGGGAGTGGCCTGGGGTACCACATGCCACCCTTGGAATCTGATTGGCCACCCCAGGTGCCACCACATTTATTTACTTTTAAATAGGCTTTTCCTTGTCCACAAAAGACTTGGGGGTAAAACAATAAAAGCATAACCATTGGTGCACAAAGTTGTGCCTCACCTGGGCCACCCCATTTTAAAAGATCTGGACACACCACTGGGGACCGACAGGCCAGTCCTGTATTCAATTCAAGTTTATTAATAAAGCACCAAATCACGACAAGAGTCGTCTCAAGGACCTTCACATAATAAACATTCCAATACAGGTCAGTTCATTAAGCCAATCAGTAAAATGTTTCCTATATAAGGAACCCAGCAGGTTGCATCGAGTCACTGACTAGTGTCAGAGTCTTTACAGCAATCCTCACACTAAGCAAGCATGCAGCGACAGTGGAGAGGAAAACTCCCTTTTTAACAGGAAGAAACCTCCAGAGGATCCTGGCTCAGTATAAGCAGCCATCCTCCACGACTCACTGGGGATCGAGAAGACACACACACACACACACACGCACGCACGCACGCACGCACGCACGCACGCACGCACGCACACACACACACACACACACACACACACAGAGACAAGGACAAAGTAGTGTTTCTATGGTTACATTGTGAATTCTTAGTAAATATTCTATTTGGTGAGAGATAAACTTTATTGTATTTATCCTAGTGAATCTATAATTAAACGGGTAAACTAGTAGTAGCACATCCAACGTCAAAGAGAGTAAAAAGTTATTATCAGGAGAGGGAGAATGTTTAAGTGGTTAGCAGCAGTGTGCTAGTCGATGGCCCCCTCCATGAGGCCCCCACAGCTCAGCAGAACATCATTGTAGCTTCTTCTGTATGCTGGCTTCTCTGTTTGTTTTCATTTTGAATATTTGTCCCTTACTCACTGACCTAAAGTTCAGAACGTGAGTTGGATTTTGGATTTCAAAATGTGATTTTTTTATAGAAAACTGAGCTGTCTTTTTCTTTCACATCACTTATTTTAAACCCTTTCTGTCATGTTGTGAGGGTGGAGTGGAGATGAAGGACCATGTGTGGTGGAGAGTTCAGGAGGCTGAAGAGCGGGCACGGATGAAAAATAAAAATGGTTTTAATGGTGGACTGGGAACGACAGGAACAACACAACGATGACTACAAACAACAATGATCTGACAAAGACTGGCACAAGGAGGGAGGTATAAATACACAGGGGAATCAGGAACACATGGGCAGGTTAATGAGGGGCAGGTGAGAACAATAAGGGCTAATCAGGGCAGGAGAGAGACAGTCAGGAAGGCAGGGGCAGAACGTGACACTTTCATTTCCATTCAGACATTTGAGGAATGTCATTGTTAAACAGACATCTTAGAAAGGAAAAGGGCTGATTGTAGGTGAGATTTACCCTTAAAATAAACCATTTGGTCCAGATAGATAGATAGATAGATAGATAGATAGATAGATAGATAGATAGATAGATAGATAGATAGATAGATAGATAGATAGATAGATAGATAGATAGATAGATAGATAGATAGATAGATAGATAGATAGATAGATGATAGATGATAGATAGATAGGTAGGTAGGTAGGTATCCTTTATTGTCATTAAATGATTGTCCATTCAACGAAATTTCCTAGAGCTTCACATTAGGCATCCGCTAAAAATACTAAGAAAAATAGCTAAAACAAGTACAATATGCACCATGCAACAAAAACAAAAACATTACAAAATACAATAAATAATATCAATAGAGTTGATTTTTCTGTCCATTCAGGGTTCTAACAGCCCAGGGAAAGAAACTCTTCCTCAGTCCGTCGGTCCTGCAGCTGAGGGATCTGAACCTTTTCCCAGAGGGCAGCATGGCAACAAGGTAGTGGTTTGGGTGGTAAATGTCCCTGGAGATGGTCCTTGCTCTAGTGAGACACCTCTGCAAGATTTTTTTCATATTTCTATTGTCATGTAAAAATATACTTTTTTCTCAGATTTAGGCTCAAATATTTGAATTTTAATGTTACTTTAATGGTTTTTGACACAAAATGACAGATGTTTTTGTTTGGAAAGTGATGCAAGCTTGCCAGACCAGAAACGGAGTAAAGACGTTTTTCTAATGAAAACATTTTAAAGTATCAATATCTCAAGGATTCAAAGTGATTTCATGTGTTTACCTGAAAAACTGGAAACAATTTATCACAATTAAAAGAAAGAATAACACAAGTTTCCTGTTTTCTCTTTTGCAGCAGATGTTTAATTCATTTAAACTGAATTTAGACCAAAACCCAGCCTGTTACCAGGTGAGTGACGCCATAATCATAAATGCAGATGCCAGAAAACGCTTTCACCTGTAGTCTGATTGTTTAATCTCCGTTTAGCGCGAGGCCAAAGGAGCAGAGATCAACATCACCAGATGATGCAATCCCGTAAAGCAGTTGCATGCCGGCGACACCCGGCTGCTCGTTGCATCAGTCGGATATGAGGAGGTAATTAATTGAGATGTGACAACTGTTCTGGGTGGGGGTGCACGGAGGGGTCGGGGGGTGCGAATGGAGGGAACATTTTGGACAGGGGTGCCGGCGCATAAGCATCTTGCAGCCAGCCGTGAAAACGTGCATGGCTGTGCACCGTGGGACCTTCACAGCCCCCCAGGGAGAAGCGATGTGAGGGACGTGTCTGTGGTCATGTAGGGCTGCCCCGATTCAGAGTCCTGGCCTATTATTGTCCCGGGAAAGGGGTGATTACAGCGGGACATCTCTTGGATGGAGCCCAAAGCCGGATTCGGTGCGCGCATTTGTCCCGAGCCATCGAGTCCCCGGGGAGAGAGCGCGACCCTCATCCGCGGTGCCATTTCAGAAACTTTGTCTTGTTGTCCCTCTGCGATGCTCGGATGCTTTCTCGTGTCAAACCAGAGCAGCCGGTTCGTTCTCCGCGTGCTCGCACTCTGCGCGCAGCGTGGGCGTGCGTAATTTGCGCCAATTAGGCTATTGGGTAATTTCCAAAGTTGTGCAAGACGGTTTTTAGGGGACAAATCGGGGAAACCCCTCATGAAAAAAGAAAAGTGTCTGATGTGTCAGAGCACAAAAACAAGAGGGCGTCACCTTCGGCGAGCTCCGCTCTCCTGGAGCATCAAAACAAATCCAGCTGAATTATTTTCTGTGTGTGCGTGTGTGCGTGCGTGCGTGTGTGTGTGTGTGTGTGTGTGTGTGTGTGTGTGTGTGTGTGTGTGTGTGTGTGTGTGTGTGTGTGTGTGTGTGTGTGTGTGTGTGTGTGTGTGTTGGGGGGTTGCAACATCAAAGACTGGTGTCGTCACTCGTCAGCGGTACGTGCCAAGCACCGCCTGCTCCAAAATAAATATTGACGTGATAATCGTATTTAAATGAGCGGAATGACCGGACATGGACGGACCAATCACAGCGCACCGTATCATTACACCTTCTTTTCAGAAATCATTCATAACGCCGATGCGTCAAACGCGCACAGAGCACTCGGCTATAAATACGGCGGCGCGCGGCGCACAGTTAGTCATTCTCGCTAAATCAAAGGAAAGGCGCAACAGAGCAAGGACCGAGGGAGACCGGCGTTTTCATCTTTGGCCAACATCATCCGCGCTTTTGCTCTGCACTTCACTTCCACCTTCTAGCACCCAGATCATGCTTGCTATGCGTGGATTGCCTCTGAGACAGGTCGCGGTGGCAGCGGTGTGCTTCGCGCTCGTTGCAGTCACGCTGGGGTCCCCGGTGGTGGGGCCAGAGCCGTTCCGATGCGCTCCGTGCACCCCGGAGAGGCTGAGCCAGTGTCCTGTGGTGGCGCCCGGGTGCGCCGAGGTGCTGCGGGAGCCCGGCTGTGGATGCTGCCTCGCCTGCGCCCTGAAGGCAGGGGAGCTCTGCGGGATCTACACGGCGCCGTGCGGCTCCGGACTGAGGTGCACCCCAAGACCCGACGACCCCCGGCCGCTCCACTCCCTCACCCGGGGACAAGCCGTGTGCACGGAGAGCGCCGCACCGCAGCCCACCCCCGAGCCCCAGACTCAAGGTAGGCCTCCCCCCATCTCACACAGATGCTCCACTGCTGGTATAAGGACAACGGCTGACATTAAAGCTCACATTCATTCATTTCTCTCCCACCAGATCTGGCAGAACCGGAACCGGAGCTGGACAACTCAGCCACCTCCTCGGACCCCGGCTCCAGCCCATACCTCCCGGGTCTTGGGAAGCCCTACGACGTCCAGGAGAGCATGAAAGCCAAACTCATCGCCATCCGCAGGAAACTGGTGGAGCAGGTACGGCCCGGCACCGGCGCGACCGGTCGGATTTAGTCACTCTTGTTGCCAAAAGTTTGGGGGAGAGGGCTGGTGCGCCACAAGGGGGCGCGCGTGCGCCGTTTAAAATGCTGAACACGGAGGCAGAGAAAAGCTTGTTTCCACAAGTTTCCTTAGCAGTGCCGTTAGTCCACGTGTTGGCTGACAATAAGACGTGTTGTTATTATTACTGCTCTTTCAACCCCTTGTCTCCTGGTGTCTCCCTGCAGGGGCCCTGCCACCTGGAGCTGCAGACTGCTCTAGACAGGATCTCAAAAGCCCACGAGAAGTTAGGAGAGAAGTTAACCAGATTCTACCTCCCCAACTGCGACAAGCACGGCCTTTACAAACAAAAACAGGTCAGTAGCCGGGCAGCCGGGTGGGATCTCCTCTCGTTTGGATCAGGGAGATGGGGGGGTGGTTCAACGCAGCAGGACCAAACACGTGGAGTCAAACATCTTTCTGTTTCTGTTTCAGTGTGAGTCTACTCTGGACGGACAGAAGGGCCGATGCTGGTGCGTGAGCTCCTGGAATGGCAAGAAGCTTTTAGGCTCCTCCGACCTTCCCTCAGAAGCTGACTGTCGTTAAAGCGGAGCCAGCAGAGAAGAAGCAAGCCACTGGTCCCCTTGGTAGCTGTTTATTTATTGATCTTGTCCATGGTGGTGTTTAATTCAGGTACACTGTCATTGTGGGACAGAGGGTCGTTCCCCTCCACCCCCCACCCCACCCCCCATCCCAAAGAGAGAAAATCTATTTTTGTTTTTCTGTAAAGGAGATTTTAATATTGATGCATTTATTTCTGCTCTTCTGCCTTATTTATTTTGGATTATTTTTTGCATTTTATTTGTTACTTGTAATTATTCATGAGTATTTATATATTTGGCCTTACTGTTATGATGTTGTTGTTTGTATGTGTGTATAACGTGTACATATGTGTCGTGGTCCTGAGAAACTCCACTGCTGAGTTGAGCTTGCTCGGCCCGTGGAGGGGTTCGGTTTGGGTCGAACCCACCGGAACTAAAGCACTGAGTGACCAAATGTTATGATTCTTTACTGCCATTGTTATTTCTATATTATTATTATTATTATTGGTATTTTATGATGGGATACATCGGCTCTTGTCAGCGAATGCAAAACCTCTCAGTTGGGAATCCCCCACGCCCTCAGAAAACCTTTCCCATGATCCCATGGGGCTGCAGATTGCATGACAGGCGGCGAGTTTCCGCTCCGCCTCTCAGACGGGTATTTCTACATGAACCTACCTCCGATATTTACGTGTCTGCTGTCGTTTGCATTGATGTATCTGTCCAAAACAAAGACTTGTGTTGTTGCTGTTCTCCCTGGCCAAGAACACATGACCACAAGGAGCTGTGGCTCTGTCTACATGCTGCTGTTGGAGAGAGGATCGGTGTGTGTGTGTGTGTGTGTGTGTGTGTGTGTGTGTGTGTGTGTGTGTGTGTGTGTGTGTACACTTTTGTAACTGAGATGTAATGAAAGAGAAAAGGTGATATATTTAATAAAACATTAACCTCAGCTTTGCTCCTCTGGACGAGTCCTTGTGGGTTTAGGATAGTTTGGGTTATTATTGCATTTTTCACCTCAACCAAACAATATAAACAAATTTTACGTCATTTACATGAATAAATATTAAAAACATGTCAGTGGATTCTACGGCATAGACCTTACAAGAGCACACGTCACCCCTCTGTTCATTGAGCTCCACTGGCTACCGCTAGCAGCACGCATCAAATTCAAATAGCTAACACTAGCATACAAAGTCCGAGATGGTACGGCTCCCATCTACCTGAATCCTCTTGCAACGGCTTACGTCTCGGCCCGGCCGCTCCGGTCATCACAGGATCATCGGCTAGCAGTGCCTACACCACGCTCAGGACAATCCAGACTCTTCTCACGCATCGTTCCACAAATGTGGAATGACCTTCCAAGCACTACCAGAACAGCGGCTTCCTTTTCAATTTTCAAGAAACTCTTGAAGACCCTGCTCTTCAGAGAGCATCTTCTAAACTAGCACCCTCCCTGCACCCGTCCCTCCTCTCTACCGTCCACTCCTTGTTCCCTACTCTGCATGATTGATTTCAAGTTGTTGGTATTGTTGCTAGCCTCAAGGGCAACATGCCGATTATCACTTGTAAGTCGCTTTGGACAAGAGCGTCTGCTAAATACTACATAAACATAAACATAAATCAACAGAATTAAGTGCAGACAGGTGCATGGACAGATCTGTTGCTATAAAAATATTTCAAATGGTTACCATCCATCCATTTTCAGCCGCTTATCCGGGGTGGGGTCGCGGGGGCAGCAGCCCATGGGAGGCCCAGACTTCCCTCTTCCCAACCACGCTTGGGCCAGCTCCTCCGGGGGAATCCTAAGGCGAGCCCCTCCCGGATGACCGAGCTTCTCACCCTATCTCTGAGGGAGAGCCCAGCCACCCTGGGGAGAAAACTCAAGTCAGCCGCTTGTATCCGCGATCTCGTTCTGTCGGTCACTACCCAAAGCTCGTGACCATAGGTGAGGGTAGGAACGTAGATCGAACGGTAAATCGAGAGCTTTGCCTTCCGGCTCAGCTCTCTCTTCACCATGGCGGACCGGTACAACGCCCGCATCACTGCTGATGCAGCACCAATCTGCCTATCGATCTCACGCTCCAGTTTTCCATCACTCGTGAACAAGACCCCGAGATACCATAATAAATAATTACCATTGACCTTAACTTCCTTGTTGAGGACGTTTGCATCCTTCAGAAACTGAATGAACAACTATTCTGGGAAAAGTGTAATGAAACACCTTTGATCTTTTACATCTCACTTTTTTATGGAAACGTTATTTTAAAAACCCCTGTTGCAGCATCACTTTATATTTTGGCAGAAACATAAAAAAGTTCTGCTAGATTTCACCAGATGGTCCTGCACTGGCCTGCTGATGTTTGACTTAGACTCTCAGGTGATTTTGCTGTTTTTTCTCCTGGTTTTATGATCGGCTCAATCTTTAAGGTGCTCCTAGAAACCCGTTATACTCATTTCCCTAAAGCAGACTCTAGAGACTTGGGATGTCTGTTCTTTTATTGTGTTTTAGGATGTGTTTAACTGTTTTTTCTTGTACTTTCATGTCTTTTACTGGTTTTATGTACAGGGATAGGGGTAGGGTTAACTCTAAGGCGACGGTGGCACAGGAGTTAAGTGCTCGCCCCGTAATCAGAAGGTTGCAGGTTCGAGCCCCGCTCAGTCTGTCGCTGTGCCCTTGGGCAAGACACTTAACCCCCCTTGCCTGCTGGTGGTGGTCGGAGGGACCGGTGGCGCCAGTGCTCGGCAGTCTCGCCTCTGTCAGTGCGCCCCAGGGCAGCTGTGGCTACATCGTAGCTCATCACCATCAGTGTGTGAATGTGTGTGTGAATGGGTGAATGACTGATTGTGTTGTAAAGCGCTTTGAGGGGTTCCAGGACTCTAGAAGGCGCTATATCAAATACAGGCCATCTAAGAGTTAACCTTTTATTCAATGCTTTAAAAATGCCTTATAATAATAATAATAATAATAATAACAATTATAATAATAACAACAACAACAATAATAACAACAATAATAATAATAACAATAACAACAACAACAATAATAATAACAATAATAATAAGCATAATAATAATATTAATATGTCAATACTACTACTACTACTACTACTACTAATAATAATAATAATAACCATATTAACAATAATAATAATAATAATAATAACAATAATAATAATAATAATAATAACAATAATAACAATAATAATGAATTGAACTTATAGAGCATTTTTTAGGACACTCTTAGACGCTTTCACACACTCTCACATTCACACACTGCCAGTGATGGTGAGCTACTACGTAGCCACAGCAGCCCTGGGGCGGTCTAACAGAGGTTGCCATTTGGCGCCGTCGGCCCCTCTGACCACCACCAACACAGGGAAGTTGGGTGAAGTGTCTTGCCGAAGGACACAACAGCAGAATACCCCAGGCAGGAGCTGGAATCGAACCCATGACCCTCCGATCATGAGGCAACCCGCTCTACCACCTGAGCTGCTGCTGCCCCGCCTTGGTCATGTGTGGGTCATGTACCTGCAAACCTGATAGTCTGGCTTCACTTTTCAACTAATTCAGAAGCAGAGACTCAACAAATTTGAACGTTTTCAGTTTTCATGACATAAATCAGATCCTTTCATGCTCATATTTAGACTGCTTTAGTGTTGTTTTAATAATTGCGGGAGACCGGGCATGATTGTAACACGGGTCAGCTGTAACACTTCCAATATCTCCAATCAGGAACCATTTACAAACCATTTGATTCACTCTGCACATGCTCAGTGCTGTTTTCATGCCTCATGGGGAAAAAGAGTGACCTGCAGCACACACAACAAAATTTAGGAGCAGAAATGACATTTTGATGCCAAAAAGTAACTTTTTAGTTTTGGTTATAGCGCTGCCTGCTTTGTAGTTAAATCCATTAAACGTAAGTCATGTTTATTGTGTGTTTATGGAGATGTATTCTATGCTAGTTGTTAGTGCTAATGTTTCATCTGTTAGCTGTAATGTAAGCTAGCTGATCGCTACAGCGTTCTGGGTTAGTTGTAACAACCAAGAAAATGTTACAACCGAGCCAGACTATGGGGTGAGTTGTAACATTTTACTCCTTGTGTTTCAGAGAAAGCCACATGATTTCTGTTTGTTCTGCAGAAACAACAGCCACACCATTTAATAACTGACACATGTAGCTAGTTCGTGTCACATTTTGAATTTTCAAACTTAAAGGAGTTCCAAGCTACAGATAGAAATGTCTAAACTGTTACAACATCCCCGGTCTCCCCTGCTTCATATTTCCACACAGTCTGTCAAACAAGGAGCTAGTAGGGAAAATGCATGATTTATAAGAACGTTTCTGTTAGAAATGAGCTTTTGTTGTGCTGATGTGGCGCCAGCAGTGTGGCGATGCACCTTCGCACCACGTTTCCCACGTGCAGCCATGTTGTTATCTCAGAGATCTGAAGAGCAGCTTCTTGTGTAACTTTAGCCGGTTTGCCGACGCGTGCAGCTCAGCGCTGCCTTTTGACCCGCTCTCTGTTTGCCTTGGTCGGGCGCAGGAATTCACCTCAGCCTCTCGTGCCCACTGCCAGCCTGCCTGGCACCACCTGATTTATTTTTGTTCTTTACAAATTGAACCCTTGCTTCATCCTTATTGACACATTCCAAGACTGAGGGGAGCCCGATTGCATTCAAGGGCAAATTGGTCTTCTTTTTTATTTTTTATTTTTTCCATGCAAAAGTGGAGCTGTAACGATGAAAGAAGCACAAAAAATGTGTTCACTTTTTATTTAAAAAAATGACATTAAATACAAATTATATTCTGATTCAAAATCACTTTCATTTCTCAGAGAAAATATTAGCTTTGTGATTTGTAGCTTGTACCGTGATAAGGATGAAACACAACACATTACCCGTGAACAGAAAGCTCCAGACAAACTAAAGGGTGCAGGAGTGGGACCCTGGCTCTGCACAAAGGCGCTGAGGCAGGACGGCTGGTCGGGTGTGCATGGGGAGACCTTAAGGGCCAGGAAGCCGGGGCGACCTGAGGGTCGGAGCAACGGTTTGCAACGACAGAAGCTTCTTTAAGAATCAAACATTCATTAGTGATTATATTCCCCAAAACACAATGAATCATAGAGACGCTGCTGTGCAAACGGTGAGTCACTGAACTGTTCAGAAGGAACCCTAGTTTGGATCAGCTTATATTTCTTTCATAGATAAATAATTTTATTTTTTAGTACTGTACATGATGTCTAGTCAGACACAAAGCTGGCCAGAGAATACTACTAATAATAACAATAATAATAATAATAATATATAAAAAAAAGACACGTAAAAACATCAGGGAGGGAATAGCTTAAACATATTTTTATGTATGTTCCTCCCTTTATATCAAGTCTTTGAATGGACAGGATGTAGCACCGACGGGCTGGTGGAGCGTTGCTGCTGTCTGACGGAGAAAGCGTCGAGCCGCTGTGGTGCCACCGAGCTGCCGGCAGGCGCTCTCCCGCCGTCTCTCCACGTTTCAAGTCTTTACACAGGATGTGGGAGAGCATCAGGCAGGAAGGACCGCCCCTTCCCTGTTATATGGCGTGGTATGGGGGTCAAAATTAAGACTACTGCCCAGCAGCAGGAGGCTATATAAATTCTGAAGTAAACTACCAACCTGATTAATGATACGCTGGCGCCGGTAACTGAGAGGCTGGCGCTGCTAACTGAGAAATAGCACCTTTACCGGCGTTACTACTAGATATGCCAGGAACTAGCAGCCCTCGGCTGGTCATTGACTGGTTCACACACTCCCTCTGCTGTCTATTAGCATGGATAGGCTAGCGTTAGCCTGGACGGGCTGGTGTTAGCATCGGAGAGGCTAGCCATTAGCGTGCCTAGGCTCGCCACTAGCTGGATTTCCTACCCCCTTGACGGACCTTTAGCATAGGCTGGCGTTAGCATCAGAGAAGCTAGCCATTAGCGTGTCTCGGAGAGTCACTAGTCAGCTAGTGGCCAGCCTAGGCCTCTCCAATGCTAACACCAGCCCGTCCAGGCTAACGCTAGCCTATCCATGCTAACAGACAGCAGAGGGAGTGTGTCCTAGCGTATCTAGTAGTAACGCCGGTAAAGGTGATATTTCTCAGTAAGCACCGCCAGCCTCTCAGTTACCAGCGCCAGCGTATCATTAATCAGGTCGGTAGTTTGCTTCAGAATTTATATAGCCTCCTGCTGCTGGGCTGTAGTCTTAATTTTGACCCCCATACCGTGCCATACTGTTGGACCCCCCTCCCCCCTCCCACCGCCATTTGTGTGAATGTATTTTTGGTGCTGCGTCCACCTTCTGGAGATTTGTTGGCATACGATCAAACAGTTGTCTTCCTTTTCAGTTTTTTCCTCTTCAAAGAAACAAAAACAAAAGGAAAAAGAAAAAGTTGCACTGGATGGAAATTTTCCGAGGGGTGCTTGCTGAGTCTGCTGTCAAAATTCCTGGGTAGCTTTTAAAATATTAGACTTTTTCAATTTGTTCCTTTACCTCCCTGGGGTTTCTCACTCGGTTACCTCCGACGCCACCTCTCAGGAGAGGTCTGCAGACCGGTCCAGTCGTCTTTAACTGCATGCATTGACGAGTAGCAGCGCAGCTAAAGTGCTTTAAGTGCTTGTGCTTGAAGCATAGGGGCAGCTGGCACCTGCGGCAGAGCAAAACGGTCACACCGGGCTCGACCCGTTCAACAAAAACAAAACAAAACACAAACAAGCCGACGCCATGTTGCACCGCGGATGGATAGGAAGAGGGGAGGAGGTGGTGGGAGACGGGGACAGGATCAGGCAAGCTGTGGACATGGACGTCGGAGCTGCATCACAGACGAGGGACACGAACGAAGGCAAAACGTGTCGGGGAAGAGAAGTGAGCTAAAGACAAGCAGGACGGAGATGGAGGAGACCGAACTGATCCGTGGGTCTGCAGCGCCGCCTAAAGAGAGCACTTAGGAGGACAGATCTGGCTGCATCAGACATGTAAACATGCAAGGAATGTAAGTAAGTTTGTTGCTTCCACCTTTACCTCAGCTGAACCTCTGAGCTCACGTTCAACAGCCGTGATTTCTTTTTCAGTCTGGACGGGCGTCAGACGCAAGAACGCTGAGCTCTTAGTTGCTCGACTTGTAGTTTGATGAGAATCGTGTTTGTTCTGTTTTAAGATGACGCCACTGGACAGAACCTGCAGGCTTTTAGCTTTTAGAAGACAATTCTGTGGTTTATAGAAGCCCCAATGCACTTTAACAGGATCAATTCAGTTAGATTCACTCCAGGCCGCCTGGAGCGAGGATGCTGAAAAGGTGCAGCCGTAAGTAGAAAGGTAGATGATTGCAGGAGGGTCGTCAGTTAGGAGCTGATGTATCATCCTTGAAGGATAAAAGATCCCTCCATGAAGTCCTGGGTCTGCTCCCAGCTCCTGGAAAAGCTCCAGAAAGACGCTGCCCAGAAGTCTTCCAATCAGATGTCTGAACCACCTCCGCTGAGCTCTTCTGACGAGGAGGAGCAGCACCCTCCTGGAAGACGGAGCTCCTCACCTCATTTCTATGGCTGAACCCAGCAGGAGGAGCTTCCTTTCACCTTACTGTGTCTGGAATCTCCTTCCTCTGGTCATAATCCAATTATCCAGGTGAAGGGTGACAATCTGCGACTTTCAGCTCATTACAGCAGATGAAGTCCTGACCTGCTGGTCTGCCTGTCGCTCCATCCTCCCAGCCCTCAGAAACAAGACACAATCCTAATCCAGAAGGAGCATTCAACCTTCTCCCAGTTGGTGACCACAGCGTCAGGCTAGCAGGGTTAACCAAACGACTTTCATTGTTTATCAAATGAGAAAAAAAATTTGAGTAAAATGAAACAAATTGATGCTTTTTTTGTCCTTTTGTTGATTGAAAATAAATATAACATTTACACTCTGAATATTTGTTAAAATCTATCAACAAAATGATGCATTTTAAGGGTTTAAGGTTAGGAGGGCAGATTAAAGCCCCCCGTTAAGTCTTATGTCTCCATGTGACTCGATACTGAAGAGGTCGACCTGTAGATGGAAAAACAGACCATTTCCGGAGGCTACAGGTGTTTTGTCTTCAGAATGACGTGGCTGCTGCCCTAAAGATGGAAGCTGCAAACTCAACAAGCCCGATGCTCTAAAGGTAAAGCGGTCCTTTAGCATCGAGGACCGCGGAGGCTGAGGGGAAGCTGAGGCATCAGGCGGTTCCATTTTAAGGCACTTTAACTGCACGGTTTGCCCTCCACCTCATTTGCCCTGCGGAGAAGTGTCGAAGAGCAAGGGGAGGACCGAAGGAGGCCATGGTGCTGGGTAAAAAAATAAATCTGCCATTATGGTTCCAGAAGGGACCCTGAGCCAGAGAGGGGTTGACTCCTCCCGCCTGGTGGGACGGACCAGGAAGGAGTGACGTTGGGTCATCTCTAAACAGAGCTTAGTTCCTAAATAAAGAGTGTGTTTGGGAAAGCACGCACACACACACACACACACAGGCAGCTGTGAAGTTATGCCGACACTCATGCATTTAACTCAGCAGACTCACACATGATAGTAATGGTGATGGTGCGATTGGTGGGGGTGGGGGGGGTGTCACATCACGATTCCTCGTTAAAGCGAGTGGAAAAGTCCCTCCTCCCTCTAAAAGAATAGTGCAGATGTTTCAATTCTCCGTCTCCTGGTTCTGTCTCAGCTTTTGTAAAGAAAAGTTAGACGGCCCCTAAATTTGGGACAGATAGCTGTAAAGGACAGGAGGCCGTGCCCCCCCACCCCACCCCACCCCCTTTCCCATCCCCCACCCCACTGACAGAACAACCTGAAATCAGAAGGTCGAGAGTTCCTTCAAACGTTTACATCAATCTACAAGCAGGAGTGGGTTCAGTCTCCGTCTTTCTCCCCTCCCTTCGCGCTGTCTCCTTCTCTTCCGTCCATACGCCGTCCCTCCGTCCTCTCATTTGCTCTCCAGGTTGTAGCACTTCATCTTGCCCTGCTCTCCGTCGTCGTACCCGGGAAGAGGATGCCCATATTTGTCCACGCACCAACACACACCACGTCTTCTGCCTTTGGAAGGACGGCACTGTGGCAAAACACAACGCACGGGCAAATTCAGGTCAGACTTTTAGTAAAAACTGGATGGAAACCAACAACTAACCCTAACCCTAACATGAAAATAGTCTCCTACACCTACCTCCTGCATTAGCTTCTGATAGAAAACAGACGGTGAAACTCTAGGATTGGAAAATCCTGACAGATCTACGTCACCCTCTCACTTAACATTCATGGACTCACCCATCTTGACTCACGACGGGGAAGGCTGTTGTTGGTTTAACGTCCAGGAAACAGCAGAGAACGTCTCTGCTGTTAGACGCTAGCTGTTAGCATTAGCAGCTCCACCACACAGCAGAACTCCTCCAGGCTTGTGTTATTTGTGGAGATGAAACATCAGCGTTGCAGAGCAAACATAATTAATGGTAGAGTCGTGTTGCTGTTAGGCAATCAGAGGATAGATATCCAAACATCAGCAAAGAAAACTCTAAATCCTCTCGTCTGAAGCTACTTTCTCTTGCAGCTTCTTCTCCTTCTGCCTAACGAGGCGCACCAGAGCTTTCAGAGGCAACAGCAATTGTTGGGAAGTGGGAGTGGAGTAAGACTCTGGTAGGGGGTGACTTGCTCTTTAAAATACTGCATATGAGTGCAAGAATGTATTTTTTTATGACCAGCTGTAACTCAGTAATGCCTCAGTGGTCTTAGTTCATAAAATCTGACATTAAAGTTTATATGGTGATGTCTTTAATTGTCCTTCATTTTAGAAAACGCACACACGCTCTCAGATTAAAACAAAGCAAAATCCAACAAAGGCTGAAATATCCATGTCTGACCAGTAGGTGGCACACCATCCACACATGAACAGTAATTACAAATCAAAACACAACAGAATTTTTTAATTCTTCAGCATTTCTGATTTTTCAGGCCTCCTTTCAGCACACGGCTGAAGAGCAAAGCACATAAACAGTTCACCCGAGCATCCAGTCAACGCCTGTGAGACACAAGAGAGGGACAGCCACAACCAACTGCAGTCCCAGAGTTGTGTATCAGTACACACACGATCATAACAATCCCAGATCAGAGCACAACCATAAAAAGTTGATCGTGAAGAGAAGAAACGCCGATAAAAAAGCTGTTGTTGTGCATGTTTGTGCAATTGTCAGCGACCACATACGTTAAAATGTGTTGGTAAAACAGTGCACTGTCGCCACCTATTGGACTGGAGGAAGAACTCCATCTAATGCTGTGAGATGAATCTGTCATGACTAAATAACGTAGCGAGAGTTGATAACTTTTCACGTATGAAAGAGAAATCCCGTCTCAACGTTGACAGGTCGGGACACATCTGGGATCGGGTGCACGTTATGTGCACACAGATGCAAACAAACTGTAAAAAAGTCTATTTTAAAGAGGTCCTTCGTTCATATTTTAATACATCTGCCGTGCTCTCTAGTAGGAATGAATGTCTTTAAAATCATTCTCTAGGGAAAATAAGCTCCGGTGATCCTGTTTCAGCACGGAGAATTCAGCCAGAGGAGAAAGTAGCTTCAGACAACAGGATGTGGAGTCTTATTTCCTGATATTTAGACTTATCTCTCCTCTGATTGGCTAACAGCAACACGACTCTACCACTGACTCTGTTTGCTCTGCAACGCTGATGTTTCATGTCCTCAAATAACACAAACCTGGAGGAGTGCTGCTGTGTGGTGGAGTTGCTAACGCTAATAGTTAGCTTCTGCTAGCAAAGATGTTCTCTGCTGTTTCCTGGACGCTAAACCAACGACAGCCTTCCTTGTCATGAGACAAGGTGGTTGAGACCATGAACTTTAAGTGAGAGGGTGACGTAGATCTGTCAGGCTTTTCTAATCCTAGAGTTTCACCGTCTGTTTTCTATCAGAGGCTAATATAGGAGATAGGTGTAGGAGACTATTTTCATGTTCAGCCTGCATGAAACACTTAGAGCGACTGATTAGAATCAGAAATGATCATTAACAATGATTTCTCAGTGAAGGACCACTTTGAAAACACTGTTTGCGTATTTGCAAATAAAACAAACGAGCAAATATCTGTGTTAGTCTGACTCATCTGTCTTTCACTCCGAGACACAAACGAAAGCTATGGCAACAATGAGTTCTCACTTTCAGACACCTTGTGTGCAGAGAGTTTCACAGTAATGTTACTGTTCTGACACAGCTTCATTAAACCACCTAAAATGTGCCGGAGCGCCGTCTAACATCGACCTTCTGCTGGACTTTTTTCAGAAGTCGTGCCTCGGCAGAACTCGTCTCATCGATCACCAAGAGGAATGCACTGAAGTTTATGTGCAGGAACAATCAGGGATAAACACCCCAGCTGCTTGGCTCGCTGAGGGGGACAGCTTCACTCAGGCGTCCAGCGTGCTGCTGGGTTTGTGGGATTTGAGCTCAGCGGAGGGGTTTAATTGGTGCTGCTGCCCACTGGGTGTAAATGATGAAAAAGCTGATTTCTTCTGATGGCGAGGGGCAGGGAATGAGACACGCTCTGAGAGAGTGAGAATGCCCGAGTGTGAAGGCAAACATCAAGTTACTAAAATATTTGCCAAGGCCAGTTGGAGGGCTGCAGGGAAACCAGCACTGCTATTCTGGGAAGCTGGCAGACACTCAAAATCATCTGGAGCTGATTATGGCCCGTGTGTGCACATAAACACACGCTAGCAAACATGTAGGCTCGCACAAACAAGAGCTGTATGGGCTGTACACATGCATACCTCCCAGCTGCTTACACACGTGTGCAGTAATATCAGATGTCCCACAGGAGGGGGGGTGGGGGGGGGTGGGGGTGGCAACTTTATGAGCTCCATTTGAGTTTCTCATGAAACAACACAATAAGGTGAGTCAGGGTAAACTTTGACTCAGAAGAGTTCTCCTGCTGTTTCTACTGTGATGGAGAGCAGAAGGGAGCGGAGGAGAGTGAATAGGAGTGGAGGGTAGTGAAGGAGAGAGGAGGAGAGTGGAGGAGAGGGGAGGAGAGTAGAAGGGACAGAGTCTTGCCGTGAAGGAGAGAGAAGGAGAGTGGAGGAGAGCGGAGGAGTGAAGGAGAGTGAAAGAGAGTGCAGGAGAGTGGAGGTGAGTGGAGAGTGAAGGAGAGTGGAGGAGAGGGGAGGAGAGAGGAGGAGAGTGGAGGAGAGCAGAGGGGGCAGAGTCTTGCCGTGAAGGAGAGAGAAGGAGAGTGGAGGAGAGCGGAGGAGTGAAGGAGAGTGAAAGAAAGTGCAGGAGAGTGGAGGTGAGTGGAGAGTGGAGGAGAGTGGAGGAGAGGGGAGGAGAGAGGAGGAGAGTGAAGCAGAATGAAGGAGAGCGGAGGAGAGAGGAGGAGAGGGGAGGAGAGCAGAGGGGGCAGAGTCTTGCCGTGAAGGAGAGTGAAAGAGAGTGCAGGAGAGTGGAGGTGAGTGGAGAGTGAAGGAGAGTGGAGGAGAGGGGAGGAGAGAGGAGGAGAGTGGAGGAGAGCAGAGGGGGCAGAGTCTTGCCGTGAAGGAGTGAAGGAGAGAGAAGGAGAGTGGAAGAGAGCGGAGGAGTGAACGAGAGTGAAAGAGAATGCAGGAGAGTGGAGGTGAGTGGAGAGTGAAGGAGAGTGGAGGAGAGGGGAGGAGAGAGGAGGAGAGTGAAGCAGAATGAAGGAGAGCGGAGGAGAGGGGAGGAGAGAGGAGGAGAGCAGACAAAAGTGAAGGAGAGTGGAGGAGAGTGTAGGTGAGTGGAGAATGAAGGAGAGTGAAGGAGAGTGGAGGATAGGGGAGGAGAGAGGAGGAGAGCGGCAGAGGAGAGCGGAGGAAAGTGAAGGAGAGCGGAGGTGAGTGGAGAGTGAAGGAGAGTGGAGGAGAATGGAGAAGAGCAGAGGAGAGTGAAGAAGAGTGAAAGAGAGTGCAGGACAGCGGAGGAAAGTGAAGGAGAGTGGTGGTGAGTGGAGAGTGGAGGAGAGAGGAGGAGAGCGGAGGAGAGTGAAGGAAAATGAAGGAGAGTGGAGGAGAGGGGAGGAGAGAGGAGGAGAGCAGAGGAGAGTGAAGGAAAATGAAGGAGAGTGGAGGAGAGGGGAGGAGAGAGGAGGAGAGCCGGAGGAGAGTGAAGGAAAATGAAGGAGAGTGGAGGAGAGGGGAGGAGAGCGGCAGAGGAGAGTGGAGGAGAGGGGAGGAGAGAGGAGGAGAGCGGAGGAGAGAGGAGGAGAGCAGAGGAGACTGGAAGAAATGGGAGGAGAGCGGAGGAGAGCGGCGGAAGAGAGCGGAGGAGACTAAATTCGTCATTTGCATTTTTTTACTGTGTGGGCGTCGGACGAGCCCCCGCACCGTGAGAACAAACATCTCAGCTCTAAAGCCGATCTTCATCCACGTACGCCACACGTAACGTGATCAGGAAGCAGAACATCCATGTGTTAGGAGATCGTTTTGGGCCGCTGCTGTAAAAAAAGTGAGGCGCGAACCAGAAAAGCTTCTGCCGATCACAATTCAACAATGGATTATGAAAGAACGGATAACGCTCGAAACGCGTGGATTCTTCCTGATGTAAGAGGTGAGTCTCCGGTTTGTTTTGGTTGTGTTGGTAGTTTTGGCGTCATCATCCTAGCGCACAATGTTCTGTCACTCTTAAAAAACAGTAAAAATGGCGAGAAACGCTGGCAGCGAATGAGCTAAAAAAATCTTTTCTCAAGCTTTAAGGTCAACTTTTACCAATACTGATAAAAGTTAATCGATACCAGGAACCAATACCAATGCAGTTGCCTGAAAGGCTTCACTGTAACTTGTCATTTAAGTTCACCTAATATTTTAGTTTTGTGATCATTTATATTAATATACTTTATTTTTTATCTACCCAACACTCTTTTCCTGTTGAAAGCAGAGAAGGAAATAAAAGTGAGCCAGAGGAAAAAGTGGAAGAACATGACAGCATTTGGAGTCTTATTTCCTGATATTTGGACATCTCTCCTCTGACTGGATAAAACACACATTGTGTTTTAAAAAAACCAGGCAATGTTAGCAATACTCATGCTAACAGTTAGCTTCTACTA